TTATATATATATATATATTTAAATAAAGGATTAACTCACTTTTAGATATCTAAAATGTTGTTGTGACAATTTTTATTTTTTACGTGGTTAAATTGCATTCAAGCTTTCATTTCCTAAAATACATCCTAAATATATTTGTAATTACACTGCTGCCAGTGTATACTACACTACTGATGTCTAAAATTACTTTATATGGTGAAAGTGATATGTATTGTCATAAAGTTATGTTACATTTGTGCTCTGCATCTAACCCATTACACATGAGGGACACACAAGAGGAGCAGTGCCTGGGGAGCACTTGGGGATTAAGTGTTTTGCTCATGGACAAAACATGGGGAATCAAACCTTCTGGCAACTTTCTGGTCCCAAGTTAAATGCACCACAGCTGCCACAACGTAGTTTAAATTACTCATAAATTTCCAATATTCCTACTGACATTTGTATTTAATAAAGTGGGGTTTTTATGCGTGTTTTTAAAAATATATTGTTATCAGGGATAGATGTATATAATGACAGCTATAATAAGTAGCAAAGCTATTGTAGATAAACTGATGGTCTTCATTAGATTTCTATGTCATTTCTCAGCATTATTTGTGTTAAGCTCCTTTCACAGAACAGTTCCATTATACGAACGCAACATACAAGCCTCATTGTTAGCCACTTCTGGCTGTTCGTAAACCGAGCCAGCTACGACCCGTGACGATGTGACCTTTCATAAAAGAAGCTGGAATCACAGAACCAATGTAGACATAGAGTTTAACATCAACATAGAGCACAATGCACAAAATGTGTCCCAATCTCAAAATGATGTCTCCCCAACCCCTTCATGTATTAATTATCGCAGCTCTTTTATAACCTCATTTGGTGGTTCAGAGGCATAACATCAGTGGGTTGATTTCAACATCTATACCTCCTCAGTCATTTCATAAATCACGCAGGCAGCAAGAAAACAGAACCAGCTGGAGTGTTTCATAAAAGGGGCTGTAGCTAGAAGAAATGTGTGGATATCTGGAGCTGAAAGTCCAAAACCCGGGATGGGAAAAGTGTACTAATTAATCAAGGAAGAATTATTTGGGACATCTGACATCCTGGCTGTGGATAGGACAAATAACTTTATGAATGTCTCAAAGTTTGTTTGTTTTTTTTAAATCAGAAAATAGTGACTATGAATATTTTCTTTAAGGATTCAGTGTAATTTTTTTTATGATAAAATAGCTTGCCACAAATGACCTGAATCAAAGAACTTGTGACAACCTTTCGTGTTGTCTCCTCTGCAGTCAGAGAGAGGCCACATCTTAATTTAGAAATTGCATGCACCAGATTGCATAACGTAATTAGGAATTAGGCTGTTGTATGTACCCTTGAGACAGACACACTGTAGGAAATCTCATACATACACAGGAGGGATCACGCTGCTCGCATGTATCACTGTAGCTTCCTGGCAGTTTATAGCTTCTCACTGTTTTATGATGATGTGAACATCCAGTTCTGCTCTGCCGATCACCAGGGGAGTTCCACTGCAGCTTTGAGGAGGAGCCCATCTGCATGTTCACCCAGGACAAGAACGATGATTTTGATTGGACACGGCACAGCGCTGCCACCCGTGACACCAAGTACACACCCAACACTGGTCCCAGTGCAGACCGCACTGGTTCTAAACAGGGTAAGTGGATCCAAAAGTCTAAACATCCCTTAAACTGGGATCAACTAGAATGTTTGCAAGTACCGTTAGTGACATCATTTCCAAGTGTCTCACAGAACAGCAGCAATATTATAAAAGGATGTGTTTAGGAATGAAATACCCACTGTCTGTTTTGGTTTTATGTTACACTGAGCAGGAAGCTGCTCCTTACAGACTGATCAAATCTGCTCACAAATGTTTATTTTCTCTAAATGAGAAAAATGATTTTGTTTATATTCACGTCAAAACAAAAATCCATCTTACCAATCACGCTCCTAAGAACCGAACGCGTTTTCATCAGTTTTGTCGTTCTGTTTTTTTTTATTATTTTTATTTTTTTACATTTCCTGATAACACTACATCACGTTTAAATAGCAGGTCTGTCTCAGGGACTCAGATGAATACAGTTCCAAGTTTAGGGTTTTTTTTTTGATGGGAGATTATTTTATTTTTGAGGTCGTCATGTTTGTTTTTCTTTCAAAAATGTATATTTTGCAGTCTTTGGCTGTTTTTGGTCATTGCTTAACATTTTACTTAACAAATTTCAGATAATTTTGATAGATATTATGGTCCAAGCTGGTCCACAGAGGTGATTTTCAGCTGTAGCTCCTAAACAGTGGATCCAGCTGCCTCCTCACATCAGGCAGGCTTCAACACTTGGTGTTTTAAGTCTCATCCGAGTTTGGGTCCCAGGTTGGCTGCTCTACCTCAACCCGTAGAGGTTTATGTTCATATATGATTTTTTTTTAACTAAAGAAAATCTCGAACTGTGCTGCTCCTACTTGTCACAGTGTTGTTTCTAACTCTCGTTTGCAGCTCATCTGTTAGTTAAACCACAATATTTTCAGTAACAATTAGAACCTGAGGAGCTGGTGCAGTGACAAGATCAGCATCTTTCAAAAAAAGTACCGTATATGGCACGTGCCCGTCAACAAATTATTATAAAGTAATACATCTATCAATCTATAGCAATGGCCCAGTGAAACAAAGACCTTGTATAACTTTTGACCTTGATTTGTAATCTCTGACCTTAGATCTAGTGGATGAAAAGATTATGAGACACTCTGTATACTGGCCGTACAAATTAGTATTAAGTTTCATTAAATTATCTTGAACGGATGAGAAGTTATATTCTGGACAAGCAAATACCTTGTTTAAACTTTGACCTTAATTTGTGACCTTGACCTTGACACTGAAGTAAATAAGTGTATATGACACTCTGTCTAGTGATGATGCATATCAAGTGTCATGAAATTATCTTGAGCAGATCAGAAGTTATGCAAGTACAGAGAGTTTACGAATAGACAGAGGGACGGACGGAGACTCTACCCTAATGATGCATTAGTCTTTTGACTGACGTAGCCAAAGTTCCAACAGTTTTATCAATAAAACATTTGGAGTTTCAGAACAAAAACTTCCCTCCTAGATCAGAACAATTTCATAAACTCTGGTCAGAAAAAAAGCACTCCTTCATTTCTAACTTGAAGGATGTAGTCACAGTTGTCTACTTCCTGTTTTTTTTTTTTTTTTTTTTTTTTTTTACAGCACAGCAGCAGTGGATGGCCTCAATTTGAATGACATCATTTGTTTTGCTTACTTTTTTCACCCCTAATTTCCCTTCGAGCGTTACTTGAGTAGCCATCTGTGACGCACTGTACCTCTGCAATGATTTATCCTGACAAGGTGTTTATACTGCATTTATTAGACTAATGAGAGTACCAGAGAGATTGTCATTGCAACAACAACATAAACGTCTGGTCAAAACTATTCAAACGTTGATCATGTATACTATATTTCTTAGTAGGATTAGAAAATTCATCAACGCATTAGGGAACAGTTTGGCAGTGAAACCCAGAGGAGTTATGAATTGAATTTAGTTAGTTAATTGCCAGCTGGCTGTTGCATCAGTTCAGAGTTTCTACTTGCGATGCTAACCAAAGAACCCACCTTTGGGGGCCACCCAGTCTTCTTTGCCCACCTGCTGTTTGGACTGAAAGCCCCCAAAGGTCTTAAATAACATAATTATGTCTGGGGTGTCTTCATTTGCCAGAGGTGGTCCCTGTACTTTCTCTTTCACATTTTCCTGTGTATTATTGTAAAAATGTACTTTGTTTGCATTATGCTTTAAACAAGAGTTAGTTAAAAGTGTAATTTAAAATATCCTGATGCATGCTCAATAATCCAGGTAGAAAAATCTAAAAAAGTTAAATCTGGTCCTCTGGACATTCAAAAAAAACCAAAACAAAGCAAAACAACAAAAAAATGTAAAAACGTTTCGTCTCTCGTCCGAGAGACTTCTTCAGTCTTCTTCTGAAAAAGAAGTCTCTCGGACGAGAGACGAAACGTTTCTACATTTTTTTGTTGTTTTGCTTTGTTTTGGTTTTTTTTGAATGTCCAGAGGACCAGATTTAACTTTTTTTAGATGTAATTTAAAATATTAATTTAAACAGAGTGGTTAGATTATTGACCATATGATGAAATGTTCAGTCTTTGTTGATTTTGTGTTTAAAGTACTGCGTGTCATGAATCTGTGCTATAGTGGAAATTCTGCGCTACCACAAATATGAATATTTGCTTGCATGTCAATCCTTTTTGGTGGGGTTTCCCTCTATTGTAAAAACGTTGGAAAAAACTGTTTTCAGAACATATATGTGTGAGGAGTTGTATTTTAAAAGCGCACATTGATGGGAAACCAAACACAGGTCTTCAGCTGGGTGGTGGTAGAAGGACCCGAATGCAGAATCACAAGAACCCCGTGTACATAATTTCGCTCCACCACATGTACCACATGAGGTGCAAATGACAACAAAGAAACTCTGAATCTGACTCTGACTCTAACAAGAAACGGGTCAGGAGATTAAAAAATATTAATTAACAGACTTAATGGAGCTTCAAAGCTCATGTACTAAATGGAATGGAAAATGGACTGTACTTATATAACGCCTTTCTATCTTGTCAAGATACTCAAAGCAATTCACACTACAATATGTGCCTTCATTTACCCATTCATACAGCAATCTATTAGATCTATACAAAGAATAATCAGTGTTTTATCACATTCATACACCTCTGGGACACACATAGGAGGCAACAAGGGGTTCAGTGTCTTGCCCAGGTACACTTCAACATGTGACTGCTGGTGGAATCGAACCCCCAACTCTCCCATAGGACGACTGCTCAAACCACTCAGCCACCCAGACAAGATGAACGAGAGCAAAATATCTGACAAGAATGTTTTCATTAATCAAGAACAAAAGTCAGAGGTTCGAAGACGATCAGATACCATCGTAGTTCCGACTGTAAACAATGCCGACCAGCGATCCAGCAGTGTTTTATTGTCATTACTCGCTGGGCGGTGCCTGGGAAACCAATGTCTTTGGGTTCCAGGGGGAGTATCAAAGAGTCGGAGTTTCTTTATTGTCGTTCCCACCACATGTGGTGCATGTGGTGGGACGAAATTATGTACACAGGGTCCCAGTTACATCCAACAATAAAAATGTAAAAGAAAAACAATGATAACATCCAATATATGAACTAAGAAAAACATCAACTAAAATTACACTAAGCACTAACAGCATAAAAACATTACGTCGAACAGCAGCACGAACATGAACATGAGTCTGTGTGAGCAGATGAGCACGAATGAACACCTCAACATGAAACAGATCAGCAGCAACATGAAACAGATCAGCAGCATGAAACAGATCAGCAGCAACATGATGTGATTTTTCACAGTGATTATTCTGGTTAGATATTTATGAGTCTAACAGCCTCAGGGTAGAAGCTGTTCCTCAGTCTAGTGGTTCTACACTTAATGCTCCTCAACCTCCTCCCTGATGGGAGCGGGGCAAAAAGTGTGTGTGCTGGGTGAGTGGGGTCCTTCATGATGCAGGTGGCTCTCTTCCTGCATCTGGAGGTGTAGATGTCTGTGATGGTGGGGAGGCTGACTCCAACATCTTCTGTGCAGCCTTCACCACTCTCTGCAAAGCTTTTCTTTCCGCAGCTGTGCAGCCTCCATGCCACACATTGATGCTCGAGCACAGGATGCTCTCCACTGCACACCTGTAGAAGGAGGTGAGGACTGAGCTTCCCAGACCAGCTCGTCTCAGCCTCTGAGGAAGTAGAGTCTCTGATGAGCTTTCTTGATCAGGCTGGTGGTGTTGTTGCTCCAGCTGAGGTTGTCATTCAGGTGTACACCCAAGCACTTGTAAATGGAGACCACTTCCACCGCAGATCCTCTTATGTTCAGGGGGGTGTAGGTTCCTTCTGAAGTCCACAATCATCGCCTCTGTCTTCTTCACATTGATGTGAAGGTTATTGTCTTTGCACCAGTATGGTTGCAAAGCTGAAACTTAAAGGAATTGATGGAAGGGCACCACCAGGAGTGGAGCTTAATTTGACTCAACATGTGAAACCTCACCTAGACACGGAAAAGATTAACAGATTGATAGCTCTTTCTTGATTCTCTGTATGGTGGTGTATGGCCATTCTTAGTTGGTGGAGCAATTTGTCTGGCTAATTCTGATACACTAACCACTGAATTTTAGATTTTCTTGTGCTGGCTAAGAGTGCTTAGTTTTGTGGCCAACTTGAATTGTGTTGACCCCAAATGTAATCAGCTGTATGTCTTTTGATTACTTTGAGTAAAATCTGTCTTGCTCATGAGATATTTTGCCAATGGACTAACAAACACATGATTGCTCGCCTTTTACAACAGTGGGTAATAACTAAACTGAATCCAGTACCATTCAATGTGCAATAACACCAAAAACATACCTGTTTTATTAATTGAAATGAGTAAAGTGGTCATAATTATAATGAATTTCAGTGGTATCATTTTCTGTGCAAATTGTATTATTTATTTTATTAACCTTTATTTAACCAGGCAAATCCCTTTGAGATCACAAATCTCTTTTGCAAGGGAGGCGTGGGCCTGAAGGCAGCCTGACATGCATTTTTTGACCTGTTAGAGCAAATCGGAG